GCTCTCCAGGAATTCATACTAAATCATTTCCAAAATACTGCTGCATACATTTTATTTAACTTGAGCCTCTGTGGTATATATTGTCCTCCTTATTTTATAGAGTCTATAGATAGATCTGCCCAAGGTCACAAAACTAGTAATGGGAAAAACATCTTAGAAACAAAATTTTATCAGTTTCTCTCTTGTACTTTGACATACAACATGCTGCTTCTTTAAATAAAACTAAAATCTGCAGATGATCTCTCAAAACCGAGCTAATTTCTTAGACTTCTGGCCTTACCAGAAAGTATCATAATAGTAGAATATGAAATAACTATAAAAATATTCTGTCTATAATAGTAATAATATTTTAAACATGAATCAATGAGTCTAGAGTATAATTAATTCCTCTTTATTCAGAATATTCTTATCATGTACTATTTTAGTCAGGGCACAATATTTTTCTAATTTTCTCAGTTTTGGAAAACTGAGGAATGATAAAGGTTTACAATGACTTTTGAAATGATGAAGAGGAATATCTAGCTAGAAAACTGATCAGAAAACCAATAGTTCAGGAGCAATATTTCCTTCTTTACTATTTATATTGATAACTTTGGAAGAAATGAAACAATTTCTAAAACTTTTATTTTTCAAGAACAAAATTAACTTCTCATGTTTGCAAACTATTAGCATTGACTATATAGATTTAATGAGCAAAGTTTACATTCAATGAAAGAATCTGAATGAGTACATTCAGTATGTTTAATATGTTAGAGTATTAGAAAAAATATATACACCAGAAACTGACACAACATTGTAAATTGACATACTTCAACAAAAAAAAGAAAAACTAATATTCTATTAACAGGATATTTTCAATCTGGCTTGCATCATATTAAAAAATTCAGATTTGCAAAACATTCTTATTTCTTAGATTCCTTTTTGTAATATTAATGTATATACCACTAAAAATCTCAACTGCAATCTAGGATAAATGCATCTTATGCGTCATTTGAATTTTTACTCAATGGTAAAAGTAAAATATTTGTATTATGATAAGGGGCAAAGAAAACTTATCTTGTTCAATGGCTGCATTTTATCAAAGCTACCAATTCAACTATAAATTTATTTTTTAAGGCAGCATTTGATTTATTACAGTATGCTACAAGCTAGGATTACAAAAAGAAAAAAATCACTGTATAAGAACTAGTGGTATTTATACACCCATCTTTGTTTTAAAGGCTGACACACTGCAATCACACAGTTTCTATCTAACGTCCCACGTGGGACGTTAAAAATACACCAACCTTAGGGTTTATAAAAAAGCAACTATAAAAATATATGTATTCCTGAGGAGAGAGTAATGGAAATTAATTGCTTAATGGTTGTAAGAGTTTCTGTTTATGGTGATGAAAAGTTTTGATACTATATAGCGGTGATAGTAGCATAATATTCTGAATGTAATCAGCACAACTGAATTGTACATTTAAAAATGGTTAAAATGGTAAATTTTATGTTATATATCTTTTGCCACAATAAAAAAGTAAGCAAGCAAGCAAGACAAATTATACGCCTTCCTACTTAAGTCAGAAGGGCTGGACTCTCCAGATGTTTAACAAAATTTAATCCCATATAATATCTTAGTATCTGCCTATTTAAGTACTCCAAATTTGTATAATTCAATCTTATTTATAAAACTTCTATAGGTGTGAACATTAAGTAACTCGGTATAAAAACAACAAAATTACTTGCCTAATTGCCTTTCTTTTTTCTTGTTGATCAGCAGAGACATATGCCTTCATTTCGTCGGTGGCACGACGAAGCTGTACTTCTAGGTTCTAAGTGGAAAGACTAAATTTGAGGTTAAGTCCTTGACGCAGAAAAATCTCAGGAAAGTTTTTGATCCACTTGTTTTGTCTTACCTTAATCATACAATTCGTATAATGGTATCTACTTTCTTCTTGAAGACATTCTTCACGAAGTCCTCTGACTTCCTAAAATATACAATTTTACACGGGTAATATTGAAAGAATAATAAGATGCAGAAAGGATGACTAAATGTACAACAAAAGAAATACCATGAGAGTCATTGCCCCTTTTGTGACTGAAACAATGTAATAAATAATAGACTAGGTTGCAATGTTTTCTAGAGACCACTCATATCACTCTAAAACTTACAAGTTCAGTTATTTAGTAAGTACCTACTGTGTGCCCAGCTCTGTGCTAGGTGCTGGGACAGAGGAGTGCACAAGACAGGCTTCTGCTCTCACTCAAGTAGAGAAAACAGACGTAAACAAGGAAACATGTAGTGAAGGTAGTTTCAGAACAGGGTAAGTGCTACGAAGTAAATTCCGCAATAAAATGTGATCGGGTGACTAAGTGCAACGTTAGACAGGTGATCAGAGACGACCTCTAGGAGGAGGTGATGACTTTTAAGCAGAGACCTGAAAGGTGAGGAGAGGTCAAGGCAAAGAGCTGGGGGTAGAGTATCCCACAGAGAGAACATACACAAAAGCCCTGAGGTGAAAACAAGTGCGGCCTGTCTGAAGTCTAAGCAGCAGCCAGTGTGGCTGCGGCCCCGTGGACGAGGAGCAGAGAACATGGACATGACGTTGGTGAAGGAGGCAGCGCCTTGTAGACTGCAGTTTTGAAGGTAGGTTTTAAGTGCAACGGGAAGCCAATAGAGGGTGGCCTAAGTTCTATGAAGGTTTCTTTGGCTGCTCTTTGGAGAATAAACCTTAGGCAGGCAAGTTTGGAAGGGCAGAGCAGTTGGTGGATTACTGTGGGAGACTAGGAAAGACACGATGGGAGCCTGGACTTTGGCAGTAGCGGTACAAATGGAGAATTGAGTGTGTATGCAGCAAATTTGAAGAAATAAAGATGTATGGGGCTTAGGAGACAGACTCAGGGCATGAGGGTGAAGATTTGGGAATCTTTTGACATTGGTATAGTGAAAATACACATCCACAGGCAGTTTTTGCTAAGCTGTTAAAATAAAAACTGTCTTCTTACCTGTTCTAATTTGGACCGATTGCTTTCGAGGCCTGCTGCACAGCTATCATACTGGGATTTCTTTTCATCACACTCTTGGGTTAGTTCCTAGTATGAAAAGGTAAGTGATTGAATAAGTGAAAAACAAAGGCCTACAATGTGGCTCTGAAACAGTACGTGCCCTTGTCAGTCTTGTAACTTAACTCTAAGCTTCTTGGCATACTTACGAGTTATTTATACAACAATCAGACATTTGAGAATTATGACAGATGAAGGTGCTGATAAAAACAGTAGCTGCCATGTATTGAGCTGTGTGCCAGGCTCTATGTTAGCAGCTGGGGATACAACAGTGAACGAAACAGCCAAAAACCCTTCCCCTCAAGTAATGCTCAGACAGGTAAACAGGCTGAGTGCTATGATCAGCAAATGCACTGTGTTATAGGAGCACATGGGACTCTCACTGGCCCTAACCCAGGCTTGGGGATCAGTGAGGACATCTTCCTGGGGAAACTGATATCTAAGTTGAGGTAGGAAGGATTAGTAAGAACAGTTAGAGAGAAGGAACAAGAGCAGGAGAACGTTCAGAAAAAAGGAACAGTCTTGGAAGCCAGAGAGGACAATCTAGGACACATGAGTAGTTTATTATACTGAGGCACGTCTGGGAAGTGTGAGAAGAGGCTGAAGTCTTCGGCGGAGGCCTGATCAGAATTTTGTAAACCATGTTAGGCTATTTGAGTTTCACCCCTGACAGTAACTAAATTTCACAA